GGGCCTGGCATGGGCAAACTTCCCAGTTCACCTCTGGCTCCTGCGGGAGCCTTCTGCTGGTTTCAAGCAGTCTTTATTGAAGAAAGGTCCCTATTCTAAAATGGCAATTTGGAGACAGGCACACTCTCCTGCATGCTGGATCTGCCCCGGCCATGGGTGCCCACTCCCGCTCTGGGCTCAGACTGCTGGTCAGAAGGGGCCTGGCTTGGGCAAACTTCCCAGCTCACCTCTGACTCCTCTGGGAGCCTTCTGCCGGTTTCAAGCAGTCTTTATTGAAGAAAGGTCCCTATTCTATGGGGTGTTGGTGATTTTTTTTTCTGGTGGCTAGGTGGCGCCAGAGATCTCTCCTAGTGTCCTTGGGGAGCTGTTTTTTTTTAACCCGGTGGGACTGGGGAACAGAGTGGGAGTGGTGGGGAAAGCCTCAACGGCTTTAGGGTGCTGTGTCTGCCTTGTGCCCCACCATCATGGGGATCCCACACCCTGAATTTCGTGCCCCGGGTCTCAGTTCCAAAGCCCTCATGTCCAGGACGCGGGCTGTAGCCCAGTTCAGTGTCCGCAGAAATGGCGCCTTTTGCACCCCACTCCCGTGTCCGGGCGCTTGGTTTCTGATTACTCAGTGAGGGACATTCACCTCAGTGAGGGCCCCCGTGCATCTCCCCGCAAGACTAGGTCGCAGGCTCGGGGACCTGGGCAGCCGCAATCTGCATATCCTTTTCAAGCGCCCGCTTTTCCACACAAGCTTACCGACTGGCCTGGGGCTGTGTGTAGGTCTCCGGGAGTCTTTGTTTTTCTCTAATGGTGCCTGGAGCCGTTCGCTCACCTCCTTGGCGAATCCTGCAGGGTTCTCCACAGCTCCAGTTCACGGGGTGTGGTAGCTGAAATAGTTCCTTTCCACTCACAGTCCCGCTTGATGTGTAGTTTGTTCTTGTTGGTTGTTTTAGTTTTTTTGTTTTTTCCTCCTTTCTGTTGGTCAGAGAGTGCCGACTTTGTGAGTGGGGGAGGGTAGCAGGGTTCTGAGCTTTCCTCCCTTCTAGTCCTCTTTTATGGCAACTTTCTTCTTCGGGTAGTTTGCCAGAGTCGCCCGTTTATCTTCCATGTCCCAGTTCTCACTGGGACCTGCCGCTTTTCCTCCCTATTAACTTTTTTTTAATGGGAGTTCTTACTGGCAGCGTTTCCTCGCCACCATGTTGATCCGCCCTCCTCAAGTCAGCATTTAAAAAACCTTTAAGGCAAGATAAGGTCTAAGGATAGTCTTTACTGTACTATCTGATTTGGCGAAAATCAGTTCACTTCCTCAAGTGTTATACAATGAGAGTGAAATTTGAAATGCAATTCAAACAAGTAACTGCACCTCAAATATAAACCTTTGTAACCTAAATTTAAGAGCTTCTGTTTTAGTTAGGACTCTTGGAATTAATGAAAGCCATTTGAAATAGTTTAAGTAAATGGAAAAGGTATCACTCCTTTGTGAATTCTAGAACTTGTTTCAGGCATAGCTGGATCTAGGTTATTTGTTTTCATCCACATTTCCACTCTGGATTCATGTCCAGCTCTGCTTCCCTCAGTTGGCTTCCTCCTCTCCTATGGAAAAAAAAAAAGGCAGAATTTTTTCATATAGATATCTGCCAACATCCTCAACACCTTATTCTCACAGTTTAGTAATTCTACTAGAGAGAAGATGTATTTTCCCTCTAATATCTATATACTCATCATTGATAAGAACTTTTTTGGCTTACTTATCATAAAGTATGGTCAGTTCTGTGAAGAGGTGGGTCCTCCAGTAGCATTGCATCAGTTTTCTGTGGTTTCTGTAATAAATTATCACAAATGTGGTGATTTATAACAACACAGATTTATTTTCTTACAGTTTTAGAGGCCAGATGCCCAAAATTACTTTCACTGATAAGACAAGGAATTATCAGAGTCTGGTTCCTAGTGGAGCCTCTAGAGGAGAATCCACTTGTCTTTTTAGCTTCTGGAGGTCATATATTCCTTGGCTCACAACCATTTCTTCACATGACTCTCACTTATGCTCTGTGGTCATTTCTCTTACTTCCTCCTCTGTAGTCAAACCTCCCTCTGCCTCCCTTCCTAAGGACACTTGTGATTGGATTCTGGACCCACTTAGAAAATCTCTCCATCTCCACACCACTAACTCAATCTCTTCTGCAAATCCCTTTTGCCACAGAAGGTAACATTAATAGATTTGGACATGGACAATAGGGAGACCTTTTTTAGCCTATTACTACAAGCATAGTCCAGGAAGGTCTGACTACCATTGCCAACAAATAGTCCTACTATCAGGCAAAAAGAAAAAAAAAAAAAAACACATTTTATGAGGGAAAAAAAAACAAATTATACAGAGAATGAAAAATCTGTTTTCAGTTTCTGGGATCTCATTTGGCTGCTTGACAGATTTTTATAATGATGATAGAAAACATTTATATTACTTGTTTTGTGTCAAGCATTGTTGTAGGCCCTTACATATAGAACTCAATTAATCTTCACAAAAAGTCACCCTCATTTTATAGAAGAGAAAACTGAGGCACAAAGATATTAAGTGACTTGTCCATGATCACATTGATCTAGCAAATTCAGGATTCTAACCAGAGGTGTCTGATCCCCAGGCATGTGCTCTGGACATTTGAGAGGAAGCTTCAAGAATGGCGAGCAGGCTGACACAATGAAGAAATGGAAGGATATTGTAGATAGAGAAACAGAATGAACCAAAGCACCAGACCAGGAAAATGAAACCCAGATTTAAGTGGTGCCTTGTCTGGGTTAGATGGTATATGCCAAGACTGGAACAGCAGTGGGAATTCAAGTTTGAGGCCAGACATGGAAGACTTTGAAACCATAGACAAGCTCAATGGATGCCCTGTGAGACATCTGACTAGAGGAGGTAGCTTGTCAGAGTTGCAGTTTGGGAAGACTAATATGAGGACTGTGCTGGAGGGGGAAGGTGGGGGTGTCAAATACTCACACGGCACTTGTAGATCATCAGGCGTGCTGTGTGTCTTGCACATAAGAGAGGAAATCCTAGAGGGAGCAGAGTGTGTCTTCCATCTCTGGCTGCAAGTACCAGCGGATGATACAGTAAACTGCCAAACAGCACAGCCAGAGGGCAGAAGGCAGGGGGTAGGATCTGGAGCTGCCCTGCAGATGGAAATGATAACAGTGCTTAGAAGACAACTGAAAGCACCTTTACCACATTTGCTGAAGTCTTTCAGCAAAAGAAAAAGTGCCTGGAAACTTGAGAAATGGAGATGTATATTTAAATCTTGGTTCTGTCAATTGCCTCTGTGGGATCTTAGTTAATTTCTCCAAACCCACATCTTATTTACTGTCTTTAAAATAGAAATAGAATTATTTCATTGGTAATTGTAACATTATAAGGTAATAGGTATCTGGCTCAAATATCTGTTATCTGGCATATAGATGACACTCAAATTTATTGTTTTGTTTATGTTCTTACTCCATTTAGCCATTAATTAAATTTAGTTTTATGTTATAACTTCATTTTAAAGATGAAGAAACTGAAATGCAGGGAAAAGAACAGATTTATCCAAAGTCCTACTATGGAAATGCCTGGATTTGAACCAACAAGGGTGAGATTCCCAACTCTGGGCAAATTCCATGAAGGGAAATGAAGCTTAGGAGAAAGAGTAGGACAAACTGGACCCCACAGAAGAGCGAGATGGGCTTCACGAAGGACGCCGACAGAATTTTATTCAACTATCCAAAGCACAGATTTGAGAACACCGGGGCACATTAGACACATAACCTGTCAGCAGCCACACCTTAGGCACTTTGCAGGAGGTCCGCTACCTCCAGCAGGTAGATGGAAACCTGTTCCCCGCCCAGCAACAGCCCTCTGCGTCCTTAGCGACCCAACCTGGAGGGAGTGGCCTCTGCCAGCAAGGCATGTCTGTGATTGGCCCGACTCTGAGGCTGCAACACCCCCGCCCCACCAGGTCCCTGCAGGCCTGTGTGGGTCGGGTTCCTTGGGAGAGGCACCGGACTGCGCACCTCTGAACTGCTTGTCTGCGGAATAGCCACCTCAGCGGTAAGGGCGCCCTTCTGCTCTCTCCTGGGAATGGGCTCAGGACTGACACCCAGAAGCTGGGCAGAGACAGCGCCCCCACTATCACAAAGCCTGGTCTTTAAAATTTCCACACAGTTTCAAAGAGGTTGCAGGTCTGGCTAAATGGAGCTACCCTGCAGAGCTCTTCCTAGTGTTGTCAGACATTATTGGTGTGCTCAAGGTGACCTTGTTAAATAACACCCCCTCTCTGGGCATGGATTTCCCAATCTGTAAAGCAAACTTTTAGATTAGAATGATTTCTTAAGACCTTTCAAACTCTGAGAGGCTCTGAAAGGGAGTGGTCAGCCTGGGGCCAGATTTGCAGAACTTTTAAGTTTCGGTTGTTATCAGGGATTATCTAATGTAGGATCACATTTCCAGTTCACTGGATTGTTGCAGAAACAGATTATCAATAGCAATAAAAATCCCTTATTACTATGGGAGATGTTCTTTCAGATGCATTATCTCATTGGATTCACCTAAGTCCCCTAAAGTAAAAGTAGAATCACTGGGGAGACTGAGCTTCAGAACTGAATTTGCATTTTTCATGTGTCCCTATAAATCCTGGCTTCCTCTCTGACCTCCCAAGAATCCCCTCTGATCTCTTGTAGCACAGGAAGGTAGTGCCACTGCTTCATTATATCAGTTTTGCAGACCTCTAAGGTGGGGTTCTCAACTTTGCTAAATCCTGGTCTATGTGATACTAAGTTCGATAGCAACATTATGCTAGAAAGATAATAGTCATTAAGAGTATCTTGTGCCTTTATTAGGAATGCCGGGAGAATATAAATGAAGTTTTGGGCCTCCTGTTGTTATTGTTGTCAAAAACATTACAGTTGCCAAGTGCAAAATCAAAGGAAAGTGATTTACTTTTTCCCCCAAGTCTAAGGATTTGAAGAGATTTTTGAGAAGAATCATGTCTTCAGTTTGGAAGGCACCTCATGGGTCAGATGCAATGCCTGAAATGGTGGTGAAAATCATTGGAAGTAAACATTTTCGATACCTTGTAGAGAAGCCAAAGAAGTAAGTTTACTGTTTGAAAAATATCTGTTTTGCTTGGATAATAATGAAGTTTGGGGTGTTTTTTAATCTAAAAATTTACATTTTAAAAATGTCATCCATCGAAAATTAAGTCATTAATATGTAAGAGTAGAAACAGAATAGTGTTGACAACTTCCACATACAATGTTTTTCTGTTATTTTTCATCTTTATAATTCCCCATACTCCTTAATTGCTTGGGCTGATTTTCCAAATAGATGGGAAATACAAGCACTGAGAGGTTTATAAATTTTAATGGAGTATTGCTGCTTCTCCTCATCAGGTTTGTAATCTACCACATATAGTAATTTTTGCAAAGGAGGGGGAAGGAATGTTATTAGTTAATTTGTTATGAATTAAAAAAATGGGATTAATAATGAATCACAAATTGTAAGATCTTCATTTTGTCTTGCTCGTAGACTGTACTTCTCTAAGCAGGGGCTTCTCAGAGAGTAACCAAGATGTCCATCTTCCTTCCAAGCTCACCACAATTAAAGGAGGACAACACTATATCTCTAAAACTCATTAGATGTTTGGCACAAAGGAATATGACTTGTTTTTCTTTCGGAGAGTTGGTTCACAAGAAGAAAACAAGTACTAAGCCTGCCTTTCAGCTAGAAGCCATTCCATGAATAGAAGCTAGGCAAGAGTTGCCTTTCCTGCCTAAGATTATTTCCTTAGCTCTTTCCTCTATTTCAGAAATGCACAGATCAAACAAATAGACAAAAAACGATCTTACTTCACTGAACATTAAGATGCAGGAAGCAATGAATTCCAAACCTGGCCATTATCAGAATTCCCTGAAGAGTCCTTAAGCAAAAAGATTAGGGGTGTAACCCAAGGCTTATTGAATCAGAATAGAGATTCTGATCCTGAAAGTGAGCTGTCAGGACCACCATTATGGAATACAGTTTTAGGAGAGCAAAGAGGTTCTATTTCTCATAATCATTATTGCCAGTCCAGAGAGATTTCAAAGTGGAGAGGTTGAGAGGATTTTTGTGTGACCCTGTTCTTAGTCAACATTTTTCACTCACAACTAAAGGAAAAAAGACAAATCACTTTAGTAAAAATGTAGGTAGCAGAATGTTGGGAAGCCTTGGCAAGAAAATGAACTAAAACCATTAACATCAAATCAACAGAGATATATGCAAACACTGTATTTGGATAAGCGTGCATATGAATGATTATGTGGGATTAATGTTTGGGTTTTACTTGTATGAAACAATAGAAAATATGTGTATACATTTTCTCTTCTTCCAGTTCTTGGCAGAGTTCCTGAAACCCTTGTAATTTTCTAAATGATAACAGCACCTGGAGCAAATTCTGTTCTAATATTTCATCTTTGACCCTAGTTCTTGACTTAGAACTTATAAATCATTTGGAATTTCCTTGTGATGAGGTGTCTTTTGTTCCAATGTGATACTCTCAGTGGGCTCTCAGGTAGCTTCAGGATGAAGGCTAGCCCCCAGAAAAACCAAGCCATGACTAAAAACTTGGAATTTTCAGCCCTACCTCCTCTCATCCATCAGGCAGGGGAGAAGAGCTAAATATTGAGTTAATGATATTATGCTTCCAAAAGTATGGGGCTCAGAGAGCTTCCTGGTTGCTCAACCACATCTGTGCCCTACAAGGGTGGTATTTTGGAGAAAGCCGGGACGTTCCCTGCCCCTTCCTGCGCCCCCTGCTAAAGTGCATCTCTTCCATTTATTGGTTCATGGGTTAAATCGTTTTACAATAAACCATCCGTCTAGTAAGTAAGCTGTTTTTGTGAGTTCTGTGAGTCACTCCAGCAAATTAATCAAATCCATGAAGATAGTCACAGGAACACAGATTTACAACTAAATCTTTGGCTTACTCAGACTATCAAAGTGATGTGACCCACCAGATTCCCATAAACTGGTAGTTTCTATTTCGCTCCCATGCTCCAGAAAAAAGAGACCTAAATTCCCAGCAGGTGCCAAGCTCTCTAGATATTGTACATTGACTATCCCAGCAACACAGATTTACAACTAAATCTGTGTAGGTTGGAAGTAGAGGTAATAGCTGAGACTTGTGATTGACATCTGAAGGGCATGAGATAGTCTTGTGAAAGCAAACCCTGAAAATGTGAGGTCAGCACTAACTCTGAACTGAGGTGAACTATAGGACACCCACCTAGTGTAGGAGAATTGCATCATAGGGGAGAAAAATTCTACACAATCAGTGACCAAAAGTCTTCAGTCTCAACTAGTAGAGAATAGACTGGTGAATAAAAAAGGAGCATATACTCCATACTCTATACTCTTGGTTTGGGCTCAGTATGAGTCAAGAATACCCAGAAAGAGATATGAGGGAAGCCCACTGGACTCATAACTGGATGTGTCACCAGTGCAGTGCTGTGTGTCCTTCTGGATACTACCTTTTAGGAGGGACCTGGCATGTCAAAGGAGTAGGAACTACAGGTATAACATTATGGAAGACCCAGATTGTGAAGCGTGGCCTAGGAGTACATTTACAGGATCTGGGGATTGAGTTGTTAAATAGAAGAGAAATTTGGTCTATTTCAAGTAACTCCTATGACTAACTAGAGATGCTTCCAGTGAATAAAGTTGGCCTCTGGTGTTCCTTTTAGTGCCAAGAATCAATGACCCAAAACATTTCATTCCATAATTACATCACTGTTGGTACAGCATTGTTAAGTACAGGAGAAGCTGACTATAAGTTTTTATGGGAAAAGGAAGCAAATTATTTGAAATAGTGTAATATGTAATAATTGCTATCTATAGTTAAGAAATAAAAGGGTCTAATATTTTCCCATGTGACTCTCCTGGGGCCACACTCTCATCTTTAATCCCTCAGAGTCCTTCGTATTAATACATTCTTTTTTGACTTGTCTTTAACTTTTTTTAAGGTATTGTTGACAATTTTAGAAACTAACATGTATGTGAGCACCTACCGAGTGCCAATTCTTGGGAATATAGGCAGTGTAGCTAAAGTTCTAGTGATGGAAAACACACAATTGATAAACAATGACTATGAATGAGGAAAGCTCAGTGAGGAAACATAGAAGAGGATCATAAAATCCTATCGGTCCACAAGGATGTTCTCAGAAGGCCTCTCTGAGCAAGTGGCATTTGAGCTAAGACTGTGCAGAGACAAGCAGTCCTAATTATTCCATGAGGATTATTCATGGTTGGCTAGCTGTGAGCAAACCAAGGCTTACTCAGACTATCAAAGTGATGTGACCCACCAGATTCCAGATTCCCATAAGCTAGTAGTTTCTATTTCACTCTCCTGCCCCCCAAAAAAGAGACTTCAATTTCCAGCAGGTTCCAAGTTCTCTGGATATTGTACATTGACTATCCCAGTAACTGCTACAAACAGTGGAATCCCAGTTAACCCCTAGAGCCCAAGCAGATGTTTTTGTACAGGCCACCTCTGCTTGCTTTATAAAGAGTAGATCAGCCTCCCAACCTTGCATAACAATTCCCAGAGATCAGACCCCACATAAGTTGCTGCTTCCTCACCCAACAGGTCAGCCTGTACCAAGTGACACCACAAATGTCCCCCACTATCATTTTGTCTTTGCAGATCTACTCAGAACATTAATCATTGTACTATACTGCCTGAAATAATGGGTAAATTTTGCACAATTTTGGAAAAAGTCTTCCTTTTTCACTCTCTGTGCTGTTGTTTCTTAGACTTTAGTGTACATGGAACACATCTAAAATGTTTTGCACTAGGAATGTGTTAGGAACACAAATTTTCTTATTCTATTTTTTAGAAATTCCAATTTAGGAAGTTCTGAGTGATTAAAGTATCTTTATAATGCTGTGTCCTACCTGGTTGTGACCCACCTCAGGTGTTCTGAGATTCAGAGGGTAAAGGTAATTGTCATTTTCTACAATAACAAGTCCTTCACCTAACAGAAATATTTTTCACAGCTCTGATTTTTTCTTGTCATCTGCCCTATGTCAATCCCTTTATGGCCTCAGTTCTATTAAGCAGATTCAGCTTGAAACTCTCCCATGATTCTATATATCTTTTTACATAATTCTATATATTTTTTAATTATCACACTATAATTTTCAGTGTAAATGTCTGCTTCCCCTACTGACCTGTGAGATCTTTGAAGGAAGACAATACTGTCTGAAGACAATCAGTAGGTTGCGTTCCCACTACTACCTTGACTAAGAAATTAACAAGGCAAAACTAAGGAACAAGTCAAAGAAAAGAAATATGCCATGGTGGAAACATATCTAATGCTGCAAATTGCATATCAGTAAAGAAAAAATAACATCGCAAAAAAGTAGATATGCTGGGTTATAATTTCTCAGAGATTGAAAGTAAATCATGCTAAAGGACAATTGCTGGTCAAATTGATTGCTAATTTTGCAACTAAAATGGCCCTTTGCTTTTCTTCTGTGAAATTGTATGATGCAGATGCCATAAAATATAAATTTGGGTAATCTCCATTGATGTAAGAATTGGCTCAGTGTTCTATGGAAAGAATTGGGATAGGTTGTGAATAACTTTGAGAAAGTAATGAGTTCCTGTATGTAAGAAGATTAGATACCAAAACTGAATGACAGAGTGTAGGGACTTCAGGCCTCGGTGGTTAAATTAGCTAGATACCTCTCTATCTATTAGTCTTACTAACATTTTAATATTTTCTAAATAGACTGTATATTTGGGGTGTACAGTTGATGAGTTAGAGCAAGGCAAAGAGACTTTGGGGTGATAAAGACCTGGGTATGAGTCCTCCTTTTCTGCTTTGGAAGGTGACCTTGAACAATTTGCTAAACTTCCCTAATCACTCATTTTCTCATCTATATAGTGATGATAAAAATGCCTGCTTTTCAGGATAATTAGGATAACAGGAAAGAATTCATATGAATTTGTGAGTGGTGACTGACACATACAAGCATTTAGAACATACTATACTATAATTACAGCGATGAAGAAATGATTCAGCTTAGGGAGTTTGAGCGAGTTAGAGTACTTTTAAATGCCTTCTGAAGATGGGATTTCTATGCTCATAATGCATAATGTGACTCCATGGCATTAAAAAAAGAAGAGAACCCTCACACTTCATCACAATAACCGTTGCTACATTAGCACAGGCCTCCCGTCTCGGCCTCCCCATGGAGTCTGGTGAGATTTTCAGCTGCACTCCCCTCCCCAGTCTCATTTTATTTTTTATTTTGTTGTTGTCTTTTTTTTTTTTTTTTCTTAAGCAAAGTCTGGTTGTGTTGATTATCTGTTATTACTTCCAAATAAGAACATGCTTTCATTTACTGAAATTAGATCCCCATTCACTGTGCTGGCACACTCTGGGCTGTCTTCTCCAGAGGGTTGGGGCCTGTTAGATGGCACACAGTTGGAAATTGGTGGCATTGAGTCACTGCCAAGGCTGGCAGACCTTTAAGATGGCATCTGTTGACCTTTTTGCAGAGCCCCCTGGGTCCTCCATTTGAGATTTGATGTTCTCGGCAGGGGTGTAATCCAAATCAAATGTGAGATCTGGTGAGTTGGAGTTACATAGGAGGTGGGGCCAACAGGGGGCTCTACATTGCTTTGGGCAGAGGATGCAAGGAGACACCCTGACAATGTTTCTTTCTAACCCTGAGACTCTAGACTCTAGTAAAGGAGGGTACTAAAGGGCTGGATTGCAAGAAAAGCCCAGTGTGAGAGAGGGAACAATTGGACAAATTGGACAGTTTTCTCCTCATTTATTTATCACCTTGCAATTCAGTAATCCTCCCTAATTGCCATAGTTCCTGGATGACACTAAACTCTTCACAGCATCCCTGAGAGCAGCAGCTGAGGTCAGAAGTACATATGCGGAAGCTAACTGTGTCTTGCTTCCAAGAGGGTATTGATGAAATTCTTACCCCTTCTTTTGAAATGGCAAATTTCTATTTTCAGTACTGCAGGTAGGCAGCACACAAGCTAGAAGAAAGAGCTTTGAGTTTGTGAACAGCATAACGACCAATGTGTGTTGACAAATTGTTTGTGCTAACAACAGACACACGCGGTTTCTCAGCTGGGGAGTCATTTTCATGATCATTTTAAAGTGCTATGTATCCTTTTTTAAAAACAGCTTTTACTTTGAACAGATTTAACAGGTTATTTTTGGTTTTACATTTACTGAGACTGTTTTAACAGACAGGCAGATACATTTCTCAGGCAATTATGTCCTAAAACTGCCCACAAAAGGATTTCGAAGGTGATAAAAACAAAGATGATCTATGTCCCTTGCTTCATTCAAAAGAATTAATGCTCTGCCCTGTGGCCATGGTTACCTTGCAATCCTGCATGTTCTGCTTCTAGTGCCTTCTCATGCCCTTGTGTTCTTCACATAATCCCAAACCTCCACAGGTCCTCTCCTGACTCTGCTGGGGTAGGAATTTAGGTGCAATCTACTCAACTTTGGTTTATTCCTGGCCCCTCTACTGAAAAGTCATGTAGAACTAAACAGATCACTTAAATCTTCTTAACTTCTTCATTCTAAAATGAGAATAACATAAGCACCTGCCTTTAGGGTTTATCAGAAGAGTAAATAAATGAATGTATATGAATGGTTACTGTGTGGCTCTTATGAATGTCAATGCTCCTGAATACTATTGTTTTTGCTGCCATTGCTTACCACAGTTATCTCTCTCATGAACTTCAAATAGCATCAAGTCTTTGCAGCATTCACTTGACATTTATTTATATGCTAATTAGGAATGTTCCATATATTTTATACCAATTTCTCCTAACAATTTAAATACATGTATGTGTACATTGTATACTCAGTAAATGTACTACCCCACTGAATAATCACAAGCATGATATAGCCATCCAATAAACACCCATACAAAAAATAGAAGAGTCCCCCATCCCAGAAAACTCCTAGATATCTTTCTGTATACTATATCTCTTTGAAAAGATAACCATTATCCTGATTTCTAGAAGTAAGTTTGTAACAGTTACTAATTTTAATATTTTGTGCTATGTTGGGAAAACCCAATGAAATTAAATTTCTTGAGGTCAAGGACCACATGTGATCTATCTTCTCTCATTACAAGAATGATTTGTTAAATAAATACTCATATTCTAATATTCCCATCTTGCCCTGTTGCCATTGAACTGAACCCATATGACAAGACCCCAGCCTGGATGATGCCCCTCTGTTGACCTTCTTTGCTTTTCCATGAACATGAGTGGACAATCCTAACGATTGATGCCACAAAATCTATGGTCTCCAACCCTCTTTGGGCATTTAAGGTGCTGGACCAACCTTTCTTTCTCTGATAAGCTCTTTTCTACTCTTCATAGAAGTTATTTCACCCATAGCCCTTAATTCAGAATCCTTACCCCAGGACATTCCCCCAGGTTTCCAAACCATAACTCTTGTCTTGCATGTCAAAAACAAAGTTCAAGTTGTCAGCAATTTGATCGATCTCTTGCCATCAACTGTACAAATTTACTTCCATCCTACTAGCTACTACTCTGCACTTCAGGTTGGTTTGTTTGCTTATTCAAGTTTTATTGATTTGCTGCTAGTTTGCATATCCATGTCATTTGGGGAGTACCTCCTGACACCTCCATACCTGCACCTGCCTCACTCACTGCCCCCTTACTCTAACTCTGTTTCTCACAATGACACCTCATTTCACCTTGTCAGGATTCCTTTTATTTCATCAGTGATATCCTCTCCTATTCTCTGGCTCACGGGGCACTTTGCAATTGCATTTATTTTTTTTTTTAAGATTTATTTATACATAGAAGAACCAGGGTGTAGGACAAAGGTGTGGGGAGTGAGCGTGCTCACCAGAGACAGAGTGGAGAGCAGAACAGGCAGATCCACTGAAATACAATACCAAAGGGAGCAACAGGCAAGACAGGAGAGGTCTGCTGTGCCATACATGGCTTATCTCCTTGGCCAGGATTGAACTCAGGCCACAGCAGTGATAGTGCTGAGACTTAACCCCTAGTGCACCAGGGAGGCCCCGCCACTGCTTTTAAATGTGTCAGAGTTCTCACTGACTTTAAACATGATCATAACTACGCCCCATCAGGAACTGACAGTGCCCTCCTGTCACTGCACCATCTCTGTCCTCTCTTATACCCAAACCCTTCACAGGGGTCTTTATTCTTCTTGTCTTCACTTGCTTGCTCCCTCTCCTTCCTCAACTCACTTCAGTCTAGCATTTTTCTCCACTTCCTCACTGAAGCTCCTTTACCAACCTTCCTGCCAACATCGTTATGGCTGAACTCAATGGATGCTTTTCAGAACTTACCTTTTTTTAGCAGCACTTGACACTGTTGATGTATCCTCTCTCTGGAAACTTAATCTTCAGTTTGTTGTCAAGACCCCACTCTCCTGGTTCCCCTCTACCTTACTGGGAATTCTAAAACCTTTCAGGGTGATTCTTCCCTCTGTAAATACTGATATTGTTCGGAGTTCTTTCCTAGGCTGTCTTTTCTTCTCATGCTGCACACCACCAAAAAGATTACTGTAAAAAAATATACATAATTAAAATCATTGCCTACAGTTTGGCTTTATTCAAATCAACAAGTATTGGAGCAGTTGCTTTATGTGGAGATAATGTGCTTCAAAATGAACCCTTTCCACCGCATTAGTAATAACAGCTAGACTTTATTGAATGCCTCCCAGGCAAAAAGGCATAGCTATTTTGAATTTATTTTTCCTGATTATAAAATAATATTTGCTCATGTAGAAAATTTATAATAATAGTTTATAAGGTATTATATGATATTACATGTAACGGAGTGTGATGGTATATCCTGAATTCTACTACCCAGAGGTACTTATTCACTGCTAGCACTGTACACATATACATGTATACATGTATATATGTAAACATATAATATGCATGCATTTTACATAGCTGAGATAATTAAATTTTTTCACTAATTTGTAATTTTCTTGTACAAAACTCTACATTTTCTTGTGTCACTACAATTGTTCTTAACTATTTTAATGGTGCTGTACATTTATCATATGAACATAGAATGAAATATTAAATTCAAACACCTGTTGCTGAATAGAGTTTTTAATTTTTCTTCTTCTGTATTGCTTTCTCATGATACATATTCTTAAAACTTAGTTTCCTAGGTTAGAGTTTCAACTTCTTGGCTTTTAATACATTTTGTTAGTTTACCTTCTATGTTAATTTTATCTATTTATGTGATCATTAGCATTGAGTTTCTATTTTCAAAGAAGTCCTCCATATTTAAAAATGGTGCCTTGTCATTGTTTTGACTTGAAAGTTTTTACTGATTAAACTAGGTTCCATAATTTTTCAATTTTATTATTTCCATTCCTTTGAATTATTTCTATAGTTTCTCCCCCTTTCCTTTTTTTCTATTTAATATTAAATGTAAATGGAGAACTGCTTGATAAAGAAGCTTGAGGGTGAGGTAACTGAGAGATATAAAACAGACCTGGAATTGGAAAACTGCCTTGACTTTCTTCCTTTTCTCATTGCAAAGATTGAGAATACCTGTTAGACTTGTAAATAGGATCCATGTGATAATCTCTAGGGTTTGTTTCTGACACTACCCTTACTTACAGAAAGGGTTCCAAAGGGTTTCAGAGCAGATGGCTATATTATGTTTACAAGTATGAGGAAAGAGTAGGGGAAGATAATAGCTAGGAAGATAATAACATGGTCTTTCTATGGTAAATAATCCATAGACAAATAACCAATGTTTACTTCTTCATTTCACCATGCTGAGCTCCTGCTGTTCACACCATCAGATGAAAACCTTTCATTTCCTATGCCAACCTGGTATGTCAAGAGTTTGCCTTATAAGTGCAAAACTGTTTCTTCACAGCAGGGATCATGAGAATTTGAAAGCAGAACCTGCAAAAGTGCTCCAGAAATTTGTGACTGATAGTGCAGGCACCATGAACAGAGACCCTCCAGTTCCTACTAACCCCACTGATCCTCAAATTAAACATGTCTCAAATGATGTGAAAGAGAGCAAGCACCCAGAGAATAACCAGAAACCAGAGAACAACCAGCAACTCCAAACAGAGGTGCACAGTATTAACAGGAACAGATTTCTGGATGGTAAAGTAAGTGGCAAGTACTAAAGCTTTTCTTGGTAACTGACTAGGAAAATATAGTTAGAATGGGAACAGATTGACAGAAGCACACACTTGCAAGTGGTCATTGATAAGACAGCATTAAAAAAATTTTTTTAGTCTGAAAGTGAATTTTGAGGTACATCTCATCTTTGTTGACTGCCAGTTGAGATTGTCAACCTGCTCTACCTATGGCTAACTCAGAGATAGCTGTACAGCAATAGGTGCCACCCTGTATAAAAATGTGGAATGTATTGCAAGGAAAGGATTTGTCTGCCGTAAGAGATAAGATTTAAGAAATATTTACAGAAATTGATCATTTATTTTCAAAATCCACTGCAACCATGTCTAGATATCAAATATTATTATCCCAAAACCCTCTTGATAGAAATATATATCACTGCACTCTGTTAACCAAACAATCCACAGCAGAGTAAGTTGATAATGATAAATCTCAATGATTAGTAATTTGTAATTAAAAAGCAAGAATAGCAGCAATTGAAAACTGGATCCAAATCAAGACAAAGTTAATGTTTCATTGATAACAAAGTACATTTCCAAAAACTGCTGAAATTGCAATTAAGCAGATACATAGAGTGGGAGTTTTGCAGTGCTGCCAAGCATTAAGTGACAGCCAGATATTTTAGTAGAGTACTGAATTAGTCTGCAGTAAACTCTAACATCATTATTTTTAGTTTATAATTTTAATAGTCCTTACTGAATCACTTGGATACTAGCTAGTCTGTAGTCTTATGGGAAAATAAAAGCCTATGGATTTGTGATCGTTAGCTCATAAGAACTCTGCAAAGAATATAATTTGGAGTGGTTAACAGTCTAGAGGGCTTCGGACCATACTCCGCATGGTTTAGTTGAACATGGACCCAGAACTGACAGTGACTTGCCCAACATGTCAGTGACAGAACTTACACTGGAACTCATCTCCTCATCTTCAGTGAATGCTCTAGTTTTACCATGATGAGTACTTCAGCTCATGGCCTTTTGGAACAGGAAATGATCCATTTGCAAAGCTGCAGTATCCTATTATGAAGTTCTAGAGACCTCTGAGTTTTCACTAATTGTGACTCTGAGTTTAATGTATTTAATTGTTGCTCACCAAATATGGCCTTGTTACTATTATAGTTATAAAACATTTTATTATGGACAAATTGCATTTTATAAATTTGATCAGTTGTTCCTTGAAGTTAGCCCTGTGAGCTAGGTGCCACCATGATTTCTATCAATATGCTTTAGATGGATAGTAAAACTGAGACTCAGTAAAGTTGATGTGACTCAAATGTGTGCCAATAAGGTGTGTACCCAAGTTTTCTTTCTTCTTTATTTAAAATTTTATTTATCTTTCTAATTATGAAATGTTACATAATCATGTAGAAATTTTAGAAAATGGAAAAACATAAGAGGAAAATACAGTTCCACTGAAGAAAAGTAGTGGTGTATTTCTTCCTTTGTGTCCTCTATGCATAGATATAAATTGAGAATCGTTATGCATATTTTGTTGTTACCCTCTTCACCTCACTTCATTTCTGGTATTCTTCCCCTGGCTTCACAAAGTTCATTCTAAGCATCATCTTGAACTAATACTTGAATAGCATTTACTCTGTGCCAAGCATTATTCTAACCTCTTTGAGTTAAGACTATTATCTTCAATTTGTAGGTGACAACACAAAGATGACAAGTGTCTTGCCCAGTTCATAAGGCTGAGAAGTAGCCCAGATTCTAGGATCTTATTTAGCAGAGCATGCATTCCTTTCTATGGATAGGACATGATCATTTAATAACTCCCTTACTGATGGGCATAAATCTTTCATAATTTTTCTCTTATAAATGAAAATTTGCTTCTTCACACTTTCCCTGCCACATCAAGCTTCCTATTCCTGGTACTGACTCCACATTAGCTATTATAATAGGCAGTGTGTTATTTGGATAAGTTGTTCTTGGACATTTGGGATATTCCTTGCTAGCTCTGTAGTACATTTCCCTCTGTAGAGGGAAATGATTTGCACCTCTCCTCCCTGAACTCAGTGGGGTTGCTTGTGGGGGACTCAGCAGCCACCAAACACAGCAAGGCCTCATGGGAGGTGTGGGGCCTGACTAATTGGTTCTGTCTGCCGGTGTTGGCCTGCCAGATGGCAACCACAGTTCCTGGTACAGAGACCCTCATTACCACCTTGACTGAGTGGTACTGGAATCCCGCTGTAGTAAAAGAAGCAAGCCAATCAGAATCCCTTCTAGATCCATATTCCTCACACATAATGAAAATAAACTTTGTTGCCTGGAACATAATACACAATCTGGAGCTGGAGTAACTGAATTTGCTCCAAAAGACAAATCTCTAATAAAGACTGAGCTACCATGGGTGAGGATATGCAAGAGTGAAACTCTTTTAAAGTTTGAAGAACATTAGTAGTAGGTAAGTATGCTGAAAATGTTTAGAGACTCCTTTGTTTTATGTATCTGAGTGCAGTAAAATGTTCTAGAAATCAATAAGAACAAGTCTTCATTTCACAACTGAAGAATGAAAGGGTCAGAGAATTTAAATGACTAGGTCAAGATCTCACAAGTATGGAGACTGGCTCTTCTCACTGCCAGCCTTAGGTTCTGTTGTCTCAAAATTCTCTTCCTTCTCAGTCTTTGAAAATGTAGATATTGTCTGTATTGTGTCTCAGAAGCATCAGCTCTGCCTTTTCTCAGAAAATGAATGTGTGGCTAGCAACAAACTTAGTAGCACAGTTACAAAAATAAAATTCTAGTGTGCCTTTTGCATCTGGCAGAATGAAAATGAAAGTGTTAGTGCTTTAATTTTAATAATTACCACAGATGATTTGTAGTGTGTTCTTTCAGAGGCCCTTTGCGTATTTTATGTTGTTTGTTCTCACTGGACACCCTTGTGAGGTTGGTAGAGGCACATGATAGTATAGATTAATGGACAAAGGTCAGGAACATTCTGCTTGGCTGTACATTCAAGCTTAGCTTCAACATGTTCAAAGCAGAACCTTTGACCCTGCTCTTCTTCCTGTGGTCAGTGTCTCATAAAATGGTCCACCACTTTCCCAGTTGCACCAGTCATGCTTTCTTCCTCTCTCTCCCTAACTCTGATATCTAGTTAATCACTGAGCTCTTTAAATTCTACATCCTTTACATCTCTCAAAAATGTTCTCTTCCTTCTGCCATCTTCCCAGTAGACCACCATTTTCAGCAGGAAAATTTTTATCTTCAAACCGGCTTTCCTATTTCTGTGTTTTCTTCTCTGTATTAGACAACTATTACAATAACACTGCTGTGTAATAAATTACCCCACTATCAGCAGTTTATTACAATCATACTTACATGTACTGATAGTTAAATCAGGATTTACTTACTTCAGTTTGACTCCTAGAATTGGATCTAGACTGTAGATTTGTTTCAGGTGATGGAAACATTTCTAGAGGATAAACTCAAACACACACATTACTCAACCACAAGTACATTTAATGTCTTTGTTTCATATCCAATAACCACCCCTTGGCCAAATCACAACACTAATATGCTACACTTTTAGGAGGAACTTTGAATCCAATGATCAAGTGTAGTCCTTACTTAATCCATAATGCCTTTTATTCTAATTTTTTGTGTGTCTGTCACAGACCCCTTCCTTGAACAAAGGAACCCATATCTAATTGTTAAGATATTTGCCTCACATCTTAATAGCATATTGATGAAATTGATAGTGAGGAAGTATTCCTCTTTGGGGACTCAATGACACTGACTGTGGGGGTTGCAGTTCACTTGTGGGCCTGTGCTTTTAGAAATTGGCTAACTCATTGGGATTCTCTCCCTTGCTCTTTCTAGTCAGCCACCCCTCTTCTGCCTCTTTTGTCTTACTAAAACTTGTCTTTGTTTCTTTAAGATCCATGGCCAAGCAAGTGTCCACTGTAGCTCTGTACCAAGTGGAGACCAGTCTCTATCCTACATCCACGGCCTTCCCAGGAGAAATTTTAGAGACTGGTCCTTGGAGCAGATGGAGAGAAACAATTCTGACCAACCTAAGGTGCACATACTAAGACTTATTGAGTTGTTTTCCATTGTGAGTAAAGGGAATTGTTTTTTAACTGTATGTTTTGGTGTGGAACAAATGATAAAACAATCTGAGGATAGACGGTGGACCCTATAATGCTTAATCAGACTTCCAGGAAGCTTCCCTGGCAAATATATAAGCAAGCCTCACATGTATCTACCGAACTCATATTCCTTTTGCCTTTCTCCTCCCAGATATTTTATTCTAAATTTTCCAGATATTTCATTCTAAATTTTCATATAATGAAAAAAGTTATTATGCAAAAGATAGATGATATATATTAAGGAGTCTTCTAAGAGCGTATGTACTCTAAAATGATTTACTTTCTTCTCCTGACAGAAAAAGCCCTGAGGCATCACAAACTCATAAATACAACAGATTGAATATTTACATTGGGTGTTATTAACTTGTCCTGTTCTAGGTAGTTTGAAAGCAGATGCTCTGATACCAATCCCAGAAGGTCAGAAGGTGAGTACTTCTTTGTATCCTGTTTCAGTGCCAGGTTAATTTTTTTTTTTTAATTGTGATTACAGGATATTGGCCAGAGGCCAAGTGGAACAACAAGAGAAGACACTTTCCTTCTTACCCTGGTCCAAAGAGAACTCAAGTCATGTCCTTTGAGTTCTGTCTTAGTAGACAAGCTTCAGAAAGAGCTGAAGATCCTAGATCCTATCTCTTCAGGATTTCTCCTTCAATCTCAGCTGAGCCACCTCTTCTTGAAGCATGAAGTTCCTCTACAGTTACCAACAATCAAGATCTTGTGTCAGAGATTTTCTCAGCAGGGATCCCCTGAAATGGTATGGACATCTTCCTATTTTAAGTATGGAATTCTTTTGTTTGACTTGTATCCACCCAAGTAATAGAATGAAAGTTTGGTACCTATCATGAAAAATAACCTTTACAATTTAATGTTGTGTTCTTATATTCATATCTGGCAAATTCCAGGCAGAGTAGACCAGAAATGAGAATAGAAAATAGATTTAGGTCCCCTAGCCCTGTTTAATTTCTCCTTAAATGGTTTTCCTGTACCATCTTTCATTGTCTGCTCTCAACATCATAGGGAAAGTTACAGATTCAATAAAATGGGCCCTCTTGAGTTCACTTACAAGCAAAGCCAGTCTGCAGGCTCCAAGGTAAGAATGCAGAACTCAACTAAGCTGTCCTGTGTCATGACATGAGGTGGACGGTATCTAAAACAAAACTCACCACCACTGATTTACAAGGAAGCTGAGACCTAGAAGTAGCAAGGAACTTACTTAGAACATCCTGAGAATTCATAGCAAGCCAGGGCTGAAATAAAGTTTCTCTATTGATAAGACCAGGGTTCTTTTTCTGAAAACTACACTTTCCATGCTCACACTTGTGGGGTGAATATAAAGAATGGTCCAAGTGCAATCAAATTTAATGAGCTAAAGAAAAATACCCTAAAATAAGAAATTATAGCAATAGGCAAAAAATTAGTGAACATTTATCAATAAAAAACCAGGCCAATCAATCTCAGAGAGGTATTCTAAGGATTTAGCAATATGATAAATACAAATTACCTGATCTTTTACCTCCAACTAGTTTTGGTTGTCTCCTGCTATCTCTAACCTGAAAATATACAATTCAATGTATATTTATGAGAAGTATTTAGCAATGCAATGTCAATAAGTTAGTAGAACCTGTTATCAATTTTTGTTCAATAAAGTTTTCAGGCCTGAGACCTAGTTTATATAAAGCTCCTTATTATAGCTTCCCTCCCTCTCTACTGTGTCCCTGACTGCACTGGAATTGTCGCCCACTACAGAGGCCCTATAATGCCATCTAACCCAGCAATGGAAATAGACGACATTCCTTCAGCCCTTTCCAATTAAAAAGGTCTTGAAATTTTTCACTTTGCTTGCTAAGGCCTAATTTGCAAATAAATTTGAATTATTTATATATCTACGTATAGACATATACTAAATATAATAAATATATAAGTGATTGGAAGGAGAGAGAGAGAGAGAGCAAGAGCTGTAGAGAAAAAGATTAGAGGGCCAATTATGCTATAGTAACAAATAGTCACAAAATCTTAGTGGGTTAAAACAATAAACATTTATTTTTTGTGTATATTACATTTCCATAAAGAGCCAGAAACAGGCTACTCTCAGTACTGTCACTATCTTAGCTCCAAAATCCAGGCTAATGAAACTGTCACTCTGCAATATTTTTGGACATGATGGCAGAGGGAAGAAAAAGAGGTCCTGCCAATCACATGTTAACCATTTAATGCTCCACCCGGAAGTGGCGTGTCAGTCTTGCTCACAGTTCATTGGCCAGAACAGGTCACACGGCTCTATCTCATGGCAAGGCAACCAGGAAGTATAAGTTTATCATTTATCTAGATGGGTGAGTAATAGTAATATTTGGTAAAAAGCACTAATAATTATACCACCTTATATTTAAAGCTCTTTTAAAACCATTTGCTGACAAAAATTTTCAACTTACATTTTATCTTAGAGACCTGTTTCCCTCACATGTAAATGAATTGAAAATGTTCAGTTTTATATTTAATTTTCAGGTGAATTATGGAAAAGTACTCTGGTTTTTAAAAGTTGCATCATTAGATGAGCCACAGCAAAGCGAAAGAGTTGTGGACAGCAATCTGAGGAAAATTCAGAGTTGTAACCATCAGCACCAAAGGTACTTTCCCCGATTTTTGTGGTCACCTTGATTTTAGACGTCTAGAGCTGGCAGGGGTCTTAGCTCTAGACCCTAAAAGCTCACACAATATGGGATCACTCTGTTCACTAATACTTACTTGGCTTATGCTTATGGTTTTCTCCCTCTCATAGGCCAGCATAGCGAGTTATGTGCAGTAATTATATATGTTTCTTAACATCAAGACTGTGTCTTTTTTATGAAGTTGCTGTGTGAAAATGGAAAACTTCATCATGAATTAAGAAATGACTATGTACTGGCGCAGCGCTCATCTATAAGCTGTGATTTCAGAAATATGTTTGGTCAGTGAATTCCTGGGTTACAGGCACTAGCTAAGAAAGAATTGAGGTACAGCAGAAATCAAGAATCCTTTCCCATAATCTCAAGGGAAAGCAATAACTCTAAGTAAAAACTGGTGTGAGGAATATTGTGAGAGATGAGGCACAATAAAGGATGATAGTCCCTGTCTTCCTCCAGAAAAATGACAAAGTGAAAAAAATGACAACATGTGATGGTTAAGAGCATAACCCTCATTGCCAGAAACCTGAGCTCAGTTCCCTCCTTTGCCATTTTGTGGGTCTGGAATCTTGCTTAGTTAATATACCTCTCTGTGCTTTCATTCTCCAACTGCAAAATGGGAATAATAATGGTCTTCCCTGCATTTCAAAGATTTGTGAGTTAATTAATGTGAAGTTCTTAAAAGGAGTGCCTGGCATATGATAAGTGCTATATATAAGTTTTATTATATTTTTAAGCAGTGTTTCCAGAAGACACTCTTCTCAGTTACAAATAACATGACACAGTGGAAGAGTCAGGGCATTGGAGTTCATTGCTTCACTATAGGAAGAAGGTAGGGCTTTCCATAAATATGTCCCTGATCCATGTGTTAGACTTGATTTCCTTCTACCACTTGTTCTTTTAGGCAGTTATACTTCATTCAACAAACATTCATTGAATACCAGCTGCTTGCTACGCCCACTTGCTGGGCACAGTGAATTCAGAGTTTGGCAAGGTCTGGGCTCTCTTTCAGGGGTTCACGGTTCAAAGAGAGAGAGACAGCCATGTGGGTCTACCAGTTAAATATCTCTCCGGGAGCCACTGTCTTACTGAGAGTCATAAAGTCCTAGAAATTCTTAATCATCAGTGACTGCAGTTCATTAGTATAGATGGTGAGTTTTTTCCCTGAGAGGTTATAGACTATGACATAGAACACATGACCAAGCCACTAATTGGCAGATATGGGTCTTAGGAATCCTAGACAGGAAACCTCTCCTTAGCCCTAGACTAGTTTTATTTCTTTGCTCAGTGGCCCCATAATCCTCTTTCTTTATAATATCATTAACATTGTAATTACTTATTTGACATTTGAGGCTAGGATTAGTATCTGTCATGGCCTAATCAGTGTCTAGCATAGTTCTAGCTAGTTCCTGGCACAGGGGAGATGCTCAATAAATATTTGGTGAATGTAATTGGGCCTCTAATTATTCACAAAGCTTGCATCACTTCACTTTCAGGGACATCTGGGTCTCTATTAAAAAAGTACATAGAGAGATCATTTAGAACTCATCAGAGAAGGTGCTGCTTTATACAAACCAGACAGTGTATTTGAGGAAGTGCAGGACTGATGGCCTACAATGAATCCAGGCTCTTTGTTAATTAATGTGCTGCTCAGGAAAAGGCCCTCCCATGTTCCGTCAGGTAGAACCTTTAATGAGGCAGCTCTGTGATGTTTAAAAAGCCTCTGGCATCACGAACGGCAGCAGGAATGGCAAGAGCTTTCATCACCTAAGTTGGACCAGATGAAATAAACTCCCGCAGCAGGTTTTCTAAGAAACCCCAGCAGCTGCAGTAAATGGGTTCCATACAACACCTGCCCATTCAGCACTCAGTGTACTGAGCTGGGAGCCAAAGCCCCATGAATCCCTACCCTCAGGAACTGGCATGCAAAAAAAGAAAAGAAAAAGGAAAACTTCTGATTCAAATCTCGGACAGATCCATCTGATTGGCATGGGCTGGGTCATGTGCCCTCGCAGCAGAAAGAGGCTGGTAGAGCAATAACTGGCATTTTTCTCTGCCAGAGTAAGAGGCAGACTCCTGAGGTAGAAAACCCCCAGAATAAGAGGAGGGTGCAAGAGTTCGGTGACCAAAACAAAACACATAGCCACCCCTCTCCTGAACCACGCTTTCAGAAAATATTAGGGGTTCTTGAGTAGTTCAGTGGTATCGTTTTGACTCAAAACTCAAAAGGCACAGAGGAAAGAGAAGATACAATATGACATTTAGGAAAAGTTATAGACATCTAAAAAATAGTCCATTCCAGGTACTCTGCAAGATCCCCAGGAAATAGTAAGGAACAAAATAGATTCAACCCTCCTCTGAAGGAGCAATCTGCTAGGGAATTCAGACACAGAATAGTAACTAGGGAAATAAAGTTGTGATTGTAACTCGAGGAGACTTATAAAGGAAAAGAACAAAGAGCTATGAAAGGGTACACCAAACAGGGAGGTGCTCGAGCTGGGTGGGAAGAGCAATTATGAACATCAGTTCCCAACTCCTTATTCAATGACATTATATTGATAGTGTGAAATTGACCATAGTGGGACCATTTACTCATGAAAATGTGGCATACTACAAATCAGCGCTTTATCTGGGAAAGCTGGCTGCTCAGGATTTACAAACACAGCACTGAAAGGAAGCTCATTTACAGGAGTGGACATTGGGGGATGTCATAAAAGGTCCCTCTATGAAAGTGGCACTTTATTCAAGATAGTAGAAACTAGCAAAAGTTTTACTGCAGAGAAGGTAAAAGATCCCCTGGATCTTGATAGGCAAACACCTTTGAATGTTAAAAAGAGTAAATGTTAAAAAGAGTTAAAAAGCTAGTAAACTGGGCCTCCCCTGGTGGCAGAGCAGTTGAGCACTGGGCTGAGAAGCTGCCCTTAGCCTCTGAAGCACCGGTTCTATCCCCAGCTGAGGGTCCCACATGGCGCGCAGACCTCTCCTGCCACCCGCTGCTCCCCTCAGCAGTGTACTTCGGTCCTTCTGCCTGTTCTGCTCCCTACTCTGGCTCTGGTGAATTCTCTCGCCCTCCCTCGCTTCTGACTGTACCCGGTGCTTGTATAAATAAATAAATAAATCTTTAAAAAAAAAAAAAGCTAGTAAACTAGCTTCATAAAATAAATGACTCCAACCTTCTATCACCCTGGCTTTTACCTGTTATTTAAAATAACAATAGTCAGTTATAGAGATCATCTCAGTAATTAACCTACATTTGTATGCAAGACAGTAGGTAAATAACAACTTCCAAACATTTTCTCCAGATACAAAGAGCAGCGGCAAGGAGATGCAGAAAGTTCACCTTGCTCAGGTCTTCCTTCTTTACAGGTCCCCTAATTTACAGAGACCTGGCAAGATCTGTTTTACTCTGCTTTGCTTGTGGCTATGAATGATTTGGGAATTTGATTTACCATGAATAATTATCTGAATTTAAGAAAAGTAAGATCAAGCAAGTAAAGTCACTTTCTCAGTTGTTCTAGCAACCTGGAATAAGAGTTTAAAAACTGGATTACAAATTTGTGTCACTGGTCTAGTGAAATCAATCGGTACCTCCTAGAGAAGAGGCTGTAGCACTCATGGGAATGGAACAGGTTTGAATCTATGAAATCTCCACATGCAGTCACATGACTAGTGTACAGAGACGTCAGAGACACTGAGTGGGTTCTAATTCCACGATGTATATCAGGGGTGAGAGATGTTGTGTGAAAACACACTGTTGCTTGAGCAGACCACCCTTTCACTATTTCCCTTGCCCTTCCAAGCAGTACGGCTCCCCAAGACTCTGACTCACAGTTAGACACAAAGCAGAGCCTGTTGGAAATCTTGAAGATGGCACTTAGGACCACCAATGGCAAACTCAACATAGAGAACCTCAATCTGAGTTTTCGAAAAGAAGACCGCTCATTCTCTGGGTGCCTGCCCCCACCCAAGGTAACCAAAATTGCATTTCATCATGTTTGTTCATCTCTGAAAGGCATCAAGCTTAGAGTTAAGATATAGTGATGTTCTCTATTGTGCCTGTGGGTTACATTAAAAATTTGTTTCTGTGCCCAAAAGAGAAAAACAAAATAGAAAAAGATTTGTAAAATAAGCAGAATTGATCAAGGCATTACTTACATTGAGGTAAGTTTTATATTAACAATAGAGAATATAGAAGTACCCATATATCACAGTAAAAAACAAATATTTTTCCAAGAACAAATGCTCATTTCTCCCATCTTCTACTAGCTTCCAATGAGGTTAGTATGTAATATCCCATTCTTAGGAACACTGTATTTTAGGGAATGATGTGATGTATTGCTGATAAAGATTAGCGTGTTATTTTAAAGCATTAATTAACAGTGCAGATGAGTTTCATAAAAGGATCCAGAACCATATTAATTCACATCATCTGTAGTCAAAGAAATAATACCACCTTTGATACAGAAAAATAATAAGCACTATTACTACAGTTTCATTAAAACAGCATGTCACCACCAATCTTTATTGAGTTCTTACAAAGTGCCAAGTACTGTGCTTTACTTATATTATCTCACTTAACACTTAGTTAATTACTTATAATAACCATGAAATCCAGGTACATAATATAAGGCCCATTTAATAAATGAAAATATCTGAATCTCAGAGAGGTCAGTTGAATCACCCAAGGGCCACATTTAGCAAGTGATAGAGCTGGGGTTCAATGTATAATGGAGTATTGGCAATAGAGAGCTAGAATTGGAACTCCATTTGGCAGAAGCTCTCTGGAAGTTCCTTTGAGCCCAGGATGCAAGAGTTCTAATTCCAGAGGAACAAAAGAGATTGGAAATTATAGGGAGGGAAAAAATGTTAGTCTGAAAGATTAGAAAATAACTTTCTTTTAGGTAGACAGAGATTAGAATTGAGAGAGTCAGAAAATTAAAAGAATAAATAATGTTTACTAAGGAAGCAAAGACATGGTATGTAAAAGTGGGTTCTTATTATGGAACAGAAGCAGATTTCTCTATGCTTTCATATTTACAATGAAGTAAACATGCAAAGGCAAAGCTCACATTAGTGTATGTGCATATGTGTATATAAATATTACACTCACAAGCATGTTTCACATGAAAGAACAACAGAAAAGATTCTACTCATCAAAAATGGACTTTATTATGTTTACAAGAAAATCTGCAGGAAATATACTAATATCATTTCTGGTTAGATTGAAAAGTACATAACATTACCACTGAAGCTTGAATGTTCTCAGATGATAGTCATAGAATGGAACAAAAATGATATAAAACTCTTTGAGGGGCCTCCCTGGTGGCGCAAGGGGTTAAGATGCAACCTGTGAAGCTGTCTGCAGCCTCTGCCGCACAAGTTCAATCCCCTGGCCAACCAGGGAACAACCCACATGCATAGCAGACCTCTCCTGACTCGCCCGCTGCTCCCCTCAGCAGTGTATTTCAGTCTGCCTGTTTTGTTCCCCACTCTGGCTCTGATGAATCCTCTCACCCCCCACACCTCTAACCTGTACTCCAGCTTTTGTATGCATAAATAAATCAATCTTAAAAAAGAAAAACAAACTCTTTGAGCCTTAGTTTATTCATCTAGAAAAACAGGGCTTTCCCTCCTGTGTCCGCTGTGAGAATAAACAAGATAAGTATATGAGGGCACTTAGCAGTGACTGTCAGAGCAAACCTTCACCGTCTTCACCCACAGCTGGTTCTGAAAGCTTAAATTTGTGGTTGATATCTAAGGAAATAGGGCACGTTTTCCTTGAAGCTGGTCTGCCTCTCGTGAGCCATCTGGCATCTTTTAAGACATCTGGAACTCACTCAAAGTATATTACAGTTCTGGGAGGCATGTAAAATAGATCCTGTTTCCTCAGAATGTGAGACAAATTGAGACCCAAGGGACATTGGATATGGAACACAGCAAGACCTGCACCCCAATATTCTTGCTCTTGGTCACAGGATGACAGGGTAGACAAGAAAAAGGCCATCCCAATTGAGGGCTTTTCTTTTTGGGCAATAATCCTTAATATCCTTAGGGTAGAGAGAAAAAAATCACAGATCTTTTAATTTCTCATGAAATCTACATAGCCTGTCCCCAAAGTGTGGGGGAAGTATCCTCACACCTAACATTTCAGAGCATTCATCAGATCATCTGTAGTTTCTCAGATATGTGCAGTCTTGAAGGATAATCTATGAGTTTTGTCACTCAAATCAATGAAATGTTGATAATTCTCAAAGAACAAAAACAAACATATAAAACATCTATCATCCTTCTTCTGTGGACTCACTCTACTCCTCTAATGTATCTTTTCTGCAGTGACGGCTTCTGGCAAAAATACTAAGGCAACATGGATCCACATACATTTACTTATTTACTAACTGTGCTGACCTGGGCATAGATTCAAGTTAAGACAGTCCCAAGCATACAGGCTCAGTTAACCCTTTTATACATGATCTGTATTTCTTACCTCATTAACTCACTTTCTTTATCAGTACCCAAAGCCCATCCCAACCTATTCTCAGACCTAGCTAAAACACATATAGATCTACCTCTAATCACACTTTGCTTTGTTTCATGCACTTCCACATCATCATCAAGAGAGAGTTCTGTTGCAGAAGAAAGCAGGATTTGTGAACATGAAGTTCATTCTGTAGCTGTGACACTAGTTACCTAATGACCAGGGCAATAAGACAGTCTCCTGCAGTTTATTAGCCTCCTTTTGTATTTAGTTGTTTCTACATCAGTATACTCTTCTCTACAGCTATAAAATTATTTCCACAGACATCAAATTATCCCTTTCTCCAATGCATTAATCATCTTTCTGATAAATATGGCGTGTTTAATCCATCCTTTGACATGTTGATGACTCAGTGTGTCCTGAGCACTGTGATAAGGCACTGAGGACAATAGGACTTTTGAGGACAATTGTGATTTCAGTCCCTAAGTTCTCCAGGAGCTCAAGGGAAAGGCAATGCTTTCAACATGTTGTCACAATACTGTATGACAAATACAATGAGGGCAGTAACTTTGAAGAGAGAGAAGAAACACCAGCCCAGACTAACCAAAAAAAAAAAAAAAAAAAAAAAACCTCCAGAGACATTGACACAAATGCTAAAGCACAGCAGAGGTGAATTTGGCAAAGAATGAGGCACAGGAAGAGAGCAAAAAAAGAGATGGGGTAGGTGTTCTAGGTAAAAAGAGCAATCTGAAATGAGAATTATAGGTTAGTTCATGGAACTGTAAGTTATTCCTATAAGCAGAGAATGAATGTTGGTTGGCTGCAGGGGGAGATGCTTTGCAAGTTGAGGTTAGAATGGAAAGTAAGAGCCAATTTAATAATCTTTTTTCTAAGGGCTGTGAACTTTATCCTGAACACCCAAGGGGATGATCAAAGGATATTAAACAAGTGAAAGATATGACAAATCTGAAGTTTTTAAAGAGCATTCTAATAGGACTTGGAGAATTAGAGTAAGGGCTACTTGAAGAGTGCCAACAAGAAAGTATGAGGGTTTCTACCAGGGCAGTAATGAGAGGCATGGGAGATACTAAGGAGATAGAAAAGTAGGTATTGGTGATTAATTGTTTGTGGATCCTGAATTAGGAGGAATCAAAAATGACTCCCCTAGGTTATGTATTTGGCAAATTGATGATCTGTTGTACCATTCTCTGACACAGGAGACAGAAAAGGAGTAATTTGGAGGAGTAGAAGAAGGGATGATGAGTTCAGTTTTGAGCATGTTGATTTGGGTTGAGAGATTAAACCTACGTAATGATTTAAGAGTCTTCAACATGGGTTTGAAGCCATGGGAGCAGTTAGGATTACCTGAGGGCTAATAGAAAGTGAGAATTGAGGCCTCCCTGGTGGTGCAAGGAGTTAAGTCTCACCACTGTGAAGCTATCTGCAACTAAAGCAGCATGAGTTTGATTCCCGGCCAGGGAGCTGACCCACATGGCGCAGCAGACCTCTCCTGTCTCTCCTGCTGCTCCCCTCAGCAGTGTATTTCAGTCAGTCTGTCTATTCTGCTCCCAACTCCCACACCTCTGGCCTGTACCTCAGTTCTTGTATGTATAAATAAATAAATGTTTTTTTTAAAAAAAAGACAGTAAGAAGCACAGGATTCTCATTGTGAAGCATACCCATTGTGAAAGAGTAGGTAGATGAAGAGAAACCAAAAAAGGAAACTAAAAATAATCAAGAGAATTAGGCATAATCAAGAAAGGAAAGAGAAGATTTATTGGCAGGATCAGCCTTGAGAGGTGATAGAACGATACCATCTATAATTAGGACTGAAAAGTATTGGTTAAATTCAAAGCCGTGGAGGTGACTAGTGACTTAGAAATTGCAGTTTAACTCGAGTGATGGGGTAAAATGCAAATGGATCCATAAATGAGAAGAGAGCAAGTTGAGTGAGCATCTGTGCACCACTCTTTCAAGGAGCAATTTGGGGAAATGAATATTTATCTCACATGTCATTTTAAAATAGCACATAGGTACATTTAATTAAAAATTTCTGTATTAAAGAGAAGAAATGACACATAATCAAATTTTTCTTACTGAACAAGGGTCATTATTATGAATATTCATGCTTGAAAATATTTTAATAATAATCCTGAATAATACTAAATTGCTAAGATTTTTTTAGATGTTTCTATTGCTCCTTTACAACTGTCAGCAATCAGTTCTTAGCAGCTATCAATCAATCTGCTTCTAGGAACCCTGATGTACTATTTCTAATCTGCTGTTCATTTTAGCCTAGAGCAAAATCAGTGTTGCCAGAAGTAAATGAACTGTTTTTAGAATAACCTCCTAATATTGATGTTTAAAAATACATCAATATGCTTTAATCATGAGGATTATTCAATTCATATTTATGGAGTAAAATGGCATAACATGACTAATTTCTATTTCTCAAAATTTATTTTTTACCAGCCTTTGCCCATACGTACTCCACTCTTCAGTGTCTTCAAATCATTCATTCATTCCCTTATTCATCTGTGTATTCATTTATTCAACAATTATTGATCCTTCATTTTTCAACACTATGCTATGTTATGGTCATAGGAAAATGAATGAAACATAATTCCACCCTACAAATAGGCCACCACCTTGTAGAAATACTCCAATTAACAGATGATTACTGCTTAGTCGCATTTAGGACTATCGTAAAGTGAATAATGCCAAAATACATGCAGTATTTTGCTCCATGCTCTTTCTTCTGCCTGGAGTTCTCCACAACCTCTAATCTTACTTGTTTAAAATTGATTACTTTTTTCTGTTTTAAGTTTCCTTAACATTGATCCTCTATACCAATGCAAGTTTTGAATTTATATTTGCTGTTTGTTTCATTCCATGAATACAGTTATATCACTGTTTTTGAATATTGATTTTATTATTATTTGGGTACAGTCAGACCAACATTTCATATGATTGCCACTGAAAAGAGAGATCGTTACTTTAGTACCCAAGAGGAAGGGCTAGAGCATATCATTCAGGCCACATGGGGATGCACCAGGGTCTGTCAGGAGGGCAGAGAGAATGTGAGAAAATGTGGGCAAGGGCTTTCATTGTGGATTGGATGAGGCAAGGTAAGAAGGGTTAGAATTGGCTAGTTTGGATAATTTCTGTGACATAAGAACAATCCCTGACTGCCCAGTACTACTGCAAAGAAACTGTGGCCCCAGTGTGAGAGCCCCAGTAAAAGAGTAGATGGTTTGCATATGAAAAGTGCACTTTGAAAGCAATCCCTTACTGTCTCCAGGAACTGACTGGCACTGGGAGGGGCAGTCTCTCCTGGGTCAGCAGACTCCCAAGAAGTCAAAGCATCAGAATAAAAAGACATGCTTGATACCGTCACTATATACAAATTTCTCTCAAAGCAAATGACAGTAGCTACTTTCTAGTACTAGTAGCTACTATTATTTAGTCTAAAAACTGTATGAGACATAGTTCTTTCCTTCTTCCTTTCTTCTTTCCTCTCTGGTCCTTTAGCTTCTCCCCCTTCTATACAAAATCGTACTATTGACTACCTTTACCTGATTTGGCCACACCCATCCCAAGTGTATATAGCTTCTAGGCAATGATCACCCATTTTATGGCTGACAAAATGCAAGATTAATATTTTAAAGCTCAGTGACTTCTGAGTGATGAAATGTTACCACTGTGTCAACCAAATAAATGGTTCACTGTTGGTAAATATTCAGGGGGAAATTCTTATCCTGAAAGATATCCTAATGGTAGAATGCTTTCCTGTATATTACTGCTTTGTCAAAATTATGTTAATTCTAATTATGGGAGGGAAATTAAAATTTAATTTCATTATAGTGACACTTCAAATCCCTTCTTATTTTCAGATCAGAGCTATATGTGGGAAGCATGGATTATATCTGACTTTGAGCCTCTTAGAAACATTGCTTAGCCATCAAGAGTTGGGTTACCATGATGAAATAAAGTAAGTTGGTATTTATTAATATCACATAGCCCTCTTTCTAGGTTTCTTGACTCTATCCAAGAACAAAACCCTAAATTTTCTAAAGAAATGAAAATTCTCAAACAATAGAAAATGTAAAATTCACAATCTCTGGCATCCATATAAAAATTACAGACAGGAAAATTACAATATATTGTTAGGGAAAAAAGCAGTTAATAAAAGTAGATTATTAGTGATAGATATAGTAGACAAACACATTAAAAAGTCATTGTAATTATACTTCATATTTTTAATTTAGTATAGGAAAGCTTGAGCATAATGAGAGGTATGGGATTGATAGCTGCAGACCCAGATAGAGAGACCCACGTGAAACTCTTGAGATGAAAAAATACAATGAGGGAAAAGGTGAGGGAAAGTTTAGACAAATCACAGCAGACACTATACGAAATATCTGACCAGTAATCCTCAAAACTGTGAAGACTATTAATAATAAGGGAAATCTGAGAAAATGTCATGGCCAAGAAGAAATAAGGAGACATAAAGACCAAAATGTGGTAGACTAGGTGGAATCTGAAACAAACAAACAAACAAAAAATTTTTACATTTATGTAAAAATTAATGATATTGGAATAAAGCATGGACTTCAGTTATGAGTAATATGTCAATATTGGTTAATTACTTTTAATGAAGTTTCCACACTAATATAAGATGTTGATACAAGGGGCCACTAAGTGAGGCATATAGGAATTCTCTATACTATCTTTCATTTTTTTCTAAACTATTAGAAAATTAAAGTTTATTTTAAATGCAAAATGTCTGAAATCAAATGCTTATGAGGAAGAGCCTATTAGACATTGCAGCGTGAAAGTGAACTTAAAAACAAAGAAATAACCACTATCCAAAATAAAACTCAGTGTGAAAAAATATCAACAAAAACTTAACAGAGAATATCAACAAAATCTTAACAGGCTGAATGCATGGTAAATTGGAGTCTTCTAAGGAAAAGAGAGAAAAGAAAGAAAAGAATATTGAAAAAATAATGACTGCAATTTTCCAATTTTTGAGAAAATTATAAAGATGAATGCAAGAAGCTTAGTGAACCCCAAATACAAGGAATTTGAGATAAACCATACCAAGTTTCATTATAACCAAATTGTTTTAACTGGTGCTAAAGAAAAAAACATACAGAACAACAAAATTAAAAATTACAGCAGACTTCTCACTGTAACAATGTGGTCCTAGCAAAGTAGAACAATATTTTTCAAGTCTTGAAAGAAGAAAAATATAAATCTAAAATTTCACAAAACTCTTTCAGAAGCTAACATGAAATAAAACTTTTTTCACATGTAAAAATGAAACAATTCATAACCTACAGACCAGCCCTGAAAGAAATATTAAGACAAACCCTGTTTTCCCTCACATTCTATTCTAGTATCTTGCACTCCAGTATTTGGCACATATTAGGTGAACTATCAACTGATGAAGTCATCCATTTAACAACTATTTATTAAGTACCTACTGTGTACCAAGCACTACTCTACTCACTGGGGATTTAGGGACGGATAAAACAAAACCCTCCCTCATGAAGCTTATATTTTAATAGAGAAGAGGATAAATAAACTAGAATATGTGATATATCTCATGGTGATTAAGTGCAATACAGAAAAATAAGGAAGAGTAGAGGTTGTAGGAACCATCGATCGATAAATAAATGATGCTACCAGGTTGATCCTAGCCAGTGAATTTCCTCTATGACAGCTCTGGTTGTGGCAGTTTCCTTTCTCGAAAACCTTGAGGGTTGTTGGGTGAGGAGGACTAAGGAACAAATGCAGAAAAGCAGAAAAGTGACTTGATAGCTGAGTAGAAAAGCAATAAGCTAAAATTGGGAATCCCCCAAAGGCATCAATCTAAAGTAGAGAAAAGGCAAGTTAGTATCAGAGCTCATATTCTAGCTGATAGAGTGAAGGTGCAAGTACGTATATGTTGATTAAAAGTTGGGGTTCAGAACTAAGATTCCAGGAATGAGAGAAATGAGAATTAGAGTGAATGGAATTAGGTTACTTATAATTGTATCAATGTTCTCAATCTCCCACTGTTTTATGTGCAAATCCGAAAAACACACCAATTTTTTTTTTTTTATTAACTTAGGTCTTTAAACATTCAAGAACATCAAAACCATGAGATCCAATGATGAGTAACATTTATAACCTGCTTCATCCTTAAACAGTCAGTCACTGGCTAAAGCCTCAGTTAAATGAAATCCTTTCTGTTAAGGGCTTTGTATGCAAACCTACATCCTTAAGAAATTGAAGATGCAATTTAGACACACATTTTAGGAGTGAATGCACGAATCATTATTTTAGTACATATTGTCCATTAATCTGCTGTTCAATTGGGAACCCATTTGGAATGTGGCTGCTTGCTAATTAGCAGGATTCTAGTGCTGAGCTGCTTCCTGATTAAATGTCCTTTAGAATCAATAAAACATCAGGAGGGATTATGGTGATGTGGGATTAGCCCCATCTAACCAAATAAAATGAGTTGTGTTCCCTTCTTAAACTGTCACATTGCAAGTGCTGATGAGAGGAACAATTTCCTGAACACTGTAGCAAAGTTGTTGTGTTTTTTAACATTGAGATTTTGTTTTTTGCCATTTGCCTACCAATTAGCAGAGAGAGACATTAGTGAATCATTGCCAGGGTAAGGCGATTTTGAGAAAGACTTGATTACGATTTCAAATCTCTACTCTGAATCACCCTTATGTAAAATGAATTCAGGTTGTGGTGGAGGGAAATTATTATCCCTGTTCTTGGCCAGGAACATGTAAGTCAGAATTAGCATTTAATGTTTCTGTGTGACTTTGCAATAAATGGTAATTAAGGAGGGCAGAAAGAGAACAGGAGGCAAACTAATACTCTAAAATTGTATTGGCAAAATTAAATGCTTCAAACCCAGCTTAAAATACAGGCGCACAAGCCAAATTGTGTGTTGGGGGGAGGGATAAATAATGAAGCTGCTATGGAAGCTTCGTAAATAGAGTGGAGCAATTGACACAGCCTCAAGTATGACTTATCATACACATCTGGCCCATTATTCACAATGCAATTAGGTTGAAAAAGATGGGTTTGATAATCCCAGGGACAACCAGAGGATTTTAAGAGATAAAGGAAGCAGGAGGTGTCTGATTCAGCAATTACTTTTTAATGGGAGTAGGAAAATTGTTAGCAGTAAGCTATGAGAGATGTGATATGGAACTTCCCAGTGGCTGGAACTTAGACACCAGACCTGGCATTTGAAAGTTCATTGATTCCAATCTTCTCTTGCAGAACCCCATCATTCATATGGGGTGAGAATAATAATAGTAATAATAGCAATAATAAAAAGCAGCAATAGTCAAATTTATATAGTTTACTGTATTCCAGGCAATGTTCTAAGTGCCTTATAAATATTAACTCTCTTAATCTTTGTAAGTTCCCCATGAGAAAGGTACTATTGTTTTTCAGGTGAGGAAACTGAGTCACAGAGATGCTTAGACCAATCTGCAATTGATAATTCTTCAACAAGGCTAAGTCAAATGCAAACTCTCTAGCTTCATAGTGTTGGCTTTCAATATACTATACTGGCCCTCCCAAAAGTTCTATGAAATTCAGAAGCTTATAGAGTACCAACTAGACAGAGGTGCTTTAGGCAAACTTCCTGAGTTGATCGTCTGGGTCCACCTTGCACTTACTGCTGAGGACAGCTCTTGATTTGAATAGTTTGGTATCTTCTACCCATTCCTCCAGGACTTAAGACAGATTCAGGTAAGAAAAAATAGGAGCTTTTAAGTTCCAGGGGCAGGTGTAATCCAGAGGAGCACGGGTTTGGGAGGTGAATTCTTACTGGTGTAGCACAATTACTACCCCGTTATCCCCAACATCACAGAAAGTCAGCGTGAACTCTGGAATCACATGGGCATAGATGGACATCCTGGCTCTACAATTCACTGTCTTTGGGAACTTGAGCAAGTAATTGATTTCTCTTAACCTTAATTTTCTTATCTGTCAAGTGGAAAAGAATCCTTTTGTCTGGATTTGAGAATTTACTGCCTGTGTGTCAGGGAAGTGCTGTGCTTCTCACTGTTAACTGGAAGGGAAGAAGAACACAGCTTTACAACTTAGACTACATGACCAAGAGGTGAAAGCAAAGGAAAATGGTGCAGTTGAATGCACAGCAGTTGAGTTAAATTGCGTAGTCAAAATAACCTGCTGATCAAGGATGTTACACATGTGTATCCAATATTTCCCAGGCATGGAAATAGCTGTTCTGCATGGCTGTCTCATTTCTTATTTCCAGCAGACCCAAGAATTATGTTTTTTATACCCACTTCATAGCTGAGTAAATTGAGGTTCAGAGACCTTGAGGAAATTGTCCTAAAATTTGGGCTTATTTGAATCTTTCTGCTACTAACGACTGTACTACATCGTCCCAAATTCATGTGTTAAAACCTTAGTCTCTCCCACCCTCAACCAGCACTTAAGAATGTGACCATGGAGATGTGGCATTTCAAAAATGTTAAATTAAAATGAGGCCATTAGGGTGGGCACTAATCCAGTCTGACTTATGTCCATATAAGAAGAGGAAATCTGGACACACAGACACCAAGAATGCTCTCACACAGAGGAAATGGAACAGTGTGATCCCCATAGAAGGGGAAGGTTCTTCCAGATTCCCTGCCCCACCCAAGGAAGGGTAGAGCTTAGCACTGAGGAGCAGCTAGAAAAGACTGGGTGAAGGACTTGGGGAAGGAAAAAAAGGACAGAAAATGAAGGAAAGACCCTAGAGGAGACACAAGATGCAGAGAGACATGTCACGAAGCAGCCACACTTGTTTCTTGGTCTTGGACTTGTACCAGAGACTTGGGGGACTTGGAAGGAGACCCTTGAAAGAGAGACATGGATGAAAGATCCACGGGGAAGCTGGCAATGGCAGCCTCTATCTTGACTTGTATTTCCATTTTTCTCTTTTCCTTCTAGACTTGT